CCCCCCCCCCCCCCCCCCCCCATGCACACATCCACACCTCATCAGTCAAAGGGTCCCTCGCCATGGCAACAGTAAATGAAAGCAACCTGAAAGAGCCCCCAGTGAGTGGCGGATGCTGGGGCTGCCTGCATTGTTGGAGGGAGGATCTGGCAACCTGCAATCACAAGCCCTCTATTCAGGCCCTCTTTAGTATTACTCAGCAAGTCAGGATTTACTGCATCATGGCTTCCGTTCTTTTCAGCCCTGACTGGCACATTGGCATGAGATAAGTGCCGCTTGGAAATGTGGCACAGTGACTGCCCATGCACAATGCTCTATGGCTATCACACTGTTTTTATGTATGTGTGTGTGTGTGTGTGTGTGCGCAGTCTGTAATGAATCTTAATTATGTTTTGGTCTGGCCTTCAGGTCCTGGACGTACGGCCAGAGTCGGAGACTATGCTCAGTGAAGGAACCAGGGTGTGTGCTTACTGGAGCGAACGCTCGCGCTGCTTATACCCAGGCTACGTTCGCAAAGGTGAGACAGCAGCTTTTTCCTGTTTTACCCTCTCTATGTTAATCTAGATATTTAGTCATATCTAAGTACTATTTTTTTTTTTTTTGCATTTGCTAATATTCCTGCTCACCTAAGGAATTGCATTTTTGTCTCTTGGAGGTGGTTCATCTGATGAAGGGAAGCAAGGAGGAGTGATGATAGAGTTTGATGATGGAGACAGGGGGAAGATTTCTCTCCCAAACATCCGCCTGCTGCCTCCAGGATACCAGATTCACTGTGGGTGTCTCCTCTCTTTGTAACTGGGAATTTTCCCTTTCATGTTGCACAGTTTTGTCTACCTGTAAGTTAATGCTAATAATCATCTGCCCCTTGTCCTTAGGTGTGGAGTCATCTCCTGCCCTGCTGATGCCCAGCGAGGCCAAGGTTAAGAGAAGTTATAGTCTGGAGCAGGCCCCTCTCAGTGACCGGCCTTATGACAGATACAACATTATCAATACTTTAACTCACAGCCAAACTCCACCTGTTCACAAAAGAAGACCAGGTAACAATTAACCTCTGAAACCTAATTTCACCTCTGAATTACCTAGAGGCTGTAAAGTTTAGATTTGTTTCAAGTGTAACAGTATCACACACAACAAACCCCTAAAACTACCGCTTACCTTGAGCAAAGTATTGAAATAAAAATGTTTTTATTGCTGCATCACTACATCAAATGGAAATATTCCAAATGTCTCGTGTCATTTTATAAAAAATACACACTGCTCAGTTGTGCAAACCAGTACAATAGCCTTGCATATATTATTATATTATGTTAAGTTTATAATGTTCAATTTTTGTTCAAACTCAAAGAGATGTTTATTTCAAATGTGGTGATTTCTGTGACTATGTTTAGTTATTGATGGTGTTGTTTTGGACATATGTATGATATTGAGACATTTCTAATATTGCGTCTACACCGTCCATATAAATGGGGGGTTGGCGGACAAAAAAAATCACCACACAGTTGAATCAACACATCTTTGACACAATGTCAACATTAACTTTTACGACAACAGGACTTGAAGGTGTATCGAATAAACTGGTCAGTGCACAGTATGTGCAAATGAGACATGCTTCATAATTTACATTGTATTGCTAAAATAGCATGACATATATTTTGTTCATTCTAGGGAGACCAAAGGGCTCTGGGAAAAAACAAAAGCAGCAGCAACAGCAGGCTGAGAATGCCAATAAAAATCCTTCACCTTTTCTGGGTTGGCCTTCGTTGGGTAACACCAGGAAGAGGTCGTCCGACAACTTGTTTGAGCTCAATGGGGCACCCAGGAAAGCCTTAAGAGGGACGGAAGATGACCTTTTCCCCTTGGCTAGGACCCAGCCACTGGCCTCCACCCCTGCCAAAGGCCTTTTCAGCAGCAGCTCCTTTGAGGTGGACTCCTTCAGCAGCATTGCAAATGGCTACTCCTCCTTCTGTACTCAGTCCAAAGGGCCAAATCAAGGTTTATCTCTGGTCCCCAGAAGTGGGCCATATGGCCAGAGGCGCAGACAAGATGAGCTTGTTGTGCCAAGAAGCAGGAAGTCTGGACAAGAGTTTTTAGTCAAGTTAGATCATGAAGGAGTGACCTCCCCTAAGACAAAGAACGGCAAGGCTCTGCTGTTGCGAGGTGGCTCTTCCAGTGTGAGTGGCATGCCCAGGACAGAGACTTACTCTCACCCAGTCTTGCTGGTTAAAGACAACAAAAATGGCGGTGCCTCAAGGGTAGAACTTCTCCGGAAAGGAACCACACCCCAAAGAAAGCCCTCCTATTCTCTGCGTCTGGATGAATATGGCGACTTGGGCTTCAGCGCCCACAGAGAGTGTCACAGCTCCTACTCTGATCTGGATGATGACGAGGAAGAGAGGAGGACGGCTGCACTGGCTGCAGGCTCAGGAGGACTAGGGACGGCTGGCCGATTCCTGTCTCGTCTCTCGGTCTCATCATCGTCTTCTGGTTCTTCAAGCTCCTCCTCTTCAGGGTCTATCTCCAGTTCCAGCTTGTGCTCCTCGGATAATGATTCCTCTTACAGCTCAGAGGACGAGGACAGTTCTACATTGATGCTTCAAAGTTGTATGTCTTCCCACCGGGGCCTCCTGCAACCTTCTGAACCTTCCACGTCTTCAAGGCCACACCAGCACTCCTTTGTGGCCAAAGCTCTGGCTGTTTCCAATGCCAAAGGAGACTCCCCTGACCAGATCTCCAACAGCAAGTCCCTGAAGAGGAAAGAATGCACCAGCTCCCCCTCTAAATCATCGAAGGATTTTGTGAAGAAACCTAGGATGCTTCCAGATGACACCTCATTTATTCCAAGGCCTAAGATGTCTGCATTCATGGCAGGACGACAAATGTGGAGGTGGTCAGGAAACCCCACACAGGTGAGAATAAACTAGTTTCTACTGCATCAATGTAGCAAAGATGTCATTTTCTTTCATAATATCAGTGCTTAGAATACTAAGCTGGAGGTCAAGAGAGGTAATAATAATCATAATTTTTCAAACAAGATTGATAAAAGTGTTTGGTTTTCCACAGCGGCGAGGTCTGAAAGGCAAGGCCAGGAAGCTTTTTTATAAGGCCATCGTGCGAGGCAGAGACACAGTGAAAGTGGGAGATTGTGCTGTGTTCCTTTCAGCTGGACGTCCTAACCTCCCATACGTAGGTCAAATTGAGAACCTCTGGGAATCCTGGACCTCCAGTATGGTGGTCAAAGTCAAGTGGTTCTACCACCCTGAAGAGACCAAGCTTGGCAAGAGGCATCGAGATGGGAAGGTGAGCAGTGATGGAGGTTCCGATTTTATGGGGACTGTTAGTCATTTGTAGCATAATGGCAGTTTTAAATGACAATATTCTTTCTTTCTTGGTTTTTAAATATAATGATGCAACTTACCCTGTATTTTCCCTATCCAGCATGCCCTTTACCAGTCGTGTCATGAGGATGAGAATGACGTCCAGACAATCTCTCATAAGTGCCAGGTGGTGAGCAGGGAGGAGTATGAGTGTCTGACTCGCAATCAGAAGCCGAACAGTACCTCCCCAAACCTCTACTACCTGGCTGGGACGTATGACCCCACCGCTGGTCAATTGGTCACAACGGAAGGGGTTTCCATCTTGTGCTGAACCTCCATGAGGACACTACTGAAGGACTCCTTTGGAGGAAGGATAAAAGTCCATGACTTTACCTACAAGACCCTCCAGCCTGGGAAGATACAAAGTGCACCTTGGGTATGCCTCAAGGACCCATGGACTAAACGTCAGCACCGAAGCAGGGCTGTCTGAGGTTACACACTGGAGTCTATTGGCATCTAACCTTTGTGGAAGTGAAGGGGATGTCCATAACTGGTTGATCCTTTCAAGAGGAATAGAAGAAAGTCTGGGTCTTCACAAAGTTCAATAGTTCAACTAATCTCTTTTTAATGGATCCATGTGACAGACAGCTTCATAAATGGTTTTAGGACTCATGCCTCCTGCTCCGATCACATGTCACCAAAGGAGAGCTGAGAGTGCATTTGACTGCAAAATATTATGAGGCTGAATAGGTTCTGCGGACCAATTCTTCAAAGGTAGCCTTACCTAAGGGAATGGAAATGAAAGTGAGGCGTGGGGCTCTCCAGAGACCTCTTCATTCCAGGGAAGTTGAAAACATGTAAAGGATGTAAAGTTGATGTCTGTAAATATTTTTGAATTTTTCCCAATCAAGCCATACACTTCAGTACCTCTCGCCTGTCTTAACTGTTCAGGTGTACATTGTACAGCTCAATTATTGTATTGTTGTCTGTTGTCTATATGTACATAAAAGCTATTTTATATAGGAGTTTATTGTATATATGAGATGTATCTTTCCATGTTTGCGATTGATTTATTTTTATATGGGTGTAGAATACATTACGTCATTTTTCCTTTGCTTTGGGAAGTCAAGATTGGAGATGTTAGTGTTGCACTGCATATGCCCTGCTGAGACAGACGGAGACCGACAGACAGAGCACAAAGAAAGAAGGATTTAGTCTATAAGTCTATAATAGAAGACTCGCTTTCTGAGAGAGAGGAGTCATCCTGTTTAAAAAATAGGTCATGTGGCTTTTTGTAAAAGTGTTCTGTTACTTTGCATTGTTGTTATCCTATTTTAAAAACACCTTTTTATTTATGTACCTCTCAGTTGGTCATCATCACAAGGCAGATCCCACTGGACTGCAATCACGGGTCAAAAATGATTTAAGATCAATTATATGAGTATAACCTTTTGACACAATATTTGTGTGTGATGAGTGTCCTGGCATCACTATAATCATGTCCAAACAAATCAATTTAGAACAAGAGTGGATCTGGAAATGTGTTAAATGAATGCATAGTTCAACACTATGATCCACAAAATACCAAAGTGTCTTTTATTCTCTTCATTTCCTTCATTTAAATTTAACACATGCCAAGCACCTGTACTGAACTCAAATCAGACATCACTGGTAACTTATTGAATACTTGTCCTCCACTATGTGCATACATATTGGCTTAGCATTGTGACAATGGTTTCTTGCACATGTACCTGCAGTTTTGTTTCATGCAAACATATGCAGCAAAGGTTCACCCGGGACTGTGACTATGAAGGTCAAGGTACTGACAAAGTAAGATATTGAGTTCTGGCAATTTGTTGGAATTAGTCTATTTTAGTTTCATCAGCCATCTGTGTCTATATTTTGTACAGTACATGCACATACTCAACGCTAACTGTGAAGGACAATCAGATTCACAAAGCAATGGACATAGAGTAGGTTCACTCAATCTGAAAATTACTTAAATTTATTTAATTTGTGCCAAGTACATTTTGTCTATTTTTTGTCTTGTTTTATATGCAATCCTGAGTATTTTTTTGTTCACAAAGTTTTATTTTGTTCGCCAACATTTTATTTATTGTCAATGTTGCTGTTTGTTCATGCCAAGAGCGCTTTATGAGAATGTGACATTGTTTTTCTTGGTGTGATGTCGCATTTGCATTTCTTAAAAAAAAAAAAAAAAACTGGTCTTGTAGAGGCCATCTAGTGAAAAGAAATAAAGCAACACTGGATTCTTCTCATCCGCAAACCTCTGTGAATTAATTCTACTTTGCTGGCTGTGTCCTCTTCATCTCACCGCATCTGCCATTTTTGCATTGACTCATTTATGTTAAACTGTTTTGTAATGACTAAGATATTGTCTTTGAAAGACGGAATACATTTAATTTTCTCATCCAAATGGGACAGAGACACAATTATACCAAAGAGACAATGTTTTAAGAACAGACTAACCTAGTGCCAGTGCATTGGTACATTTTCCATAATTGTCGTAGGTCTAAGTTGGTGTTTAAAAAAAAGAAAAGATTAAAAAGTGACTTTATAAGTTTATCCAACACAAATCGAGTAACTAGTTAAGACAGGCAAATAAAGTTGATTAGTGTCATTTGACTTTAAAAATCACCAGGAAGATGAGTCAACAAGGAGTCTGTACGACAAACGCTGCTACTTGTTATGTTTATTCTTACCTCCAACCTTGACCTATTCTAGTTTCTTATGACTAGATGTGGTGATGGCAGCTCTTCCCTTGTTCTGCGTTATGTACATCACATATATCATAAATATGCATGTGCTGGGCTCTGTTCTTTTATATTTAAGGGAGTATTAATGTGCTTCCCATAGAATTGTTGAGGCTACTTTGAGCACCCCAAGCACAAGGCCCTTTTTCTGCCAAAATCTTTTATTTGTTGCGATAAATCCTTTGATGTAAGTGTCTCTGGCTAAACTAAGTTTATGTGAGCTTTGAGTTGCTTAGTAAATAGAGACAAATCTGTCACAGCATCAAATAAAGCCTACTGGGTTTAGCTGCCAAGCTCTGTAAATATGATGTTGACTGATCAGAGATAGATGTGGGTTTTCGTGATTCAAGATAAAGTAAATTTGCCTATTTTCTTTTGAAATGAATTGGTTCTCTCTCGGTGTATCTGTGGGGTGGTAGAAAACTTCTAGATAGGCACCCAAAAGCTAACGAAAACTACAATTTTGTCCCGAGCCCTTGAACGAATCTGTCTGCATTGAGTGTGTTAACGTCCTCAAGATTTGTAAATGTGTAATTTCTGTATTTGTGCTGCATTTTCTACAAAACAATTTGTGGTATAGGATCAAGAATTTTTATAGATGATATATAAAGAAAATACCATAACAAAGAATGTAAGATTTTATTCAAAATAAATGTTTGTATCTGATCAAAATAAAGGGGGATATATATATATATATATATATATATATATATATATATATATATATA